ACATGAGCTAATACTATCATGAAATCAATCTTTATCCATCAAGTCTATGACACGCTTTCATAACTTCTCCTGCTCATCGGGTCGCATCTGGTAGATTGTTTGGCTTGGGAGAATCAATCATGAGATAAAATCTATGACATATTAAATCTCTTTTAGTGGTGACAATCTAGGGGGTAAGGCTTTTGGTTAGAATATCTTACAACTCTCTCAGCAGGGGCTACACTATATTTCGTATTAGCTCTTCAAACTCATTGCCTTCTACGACCATCAATGTATGTCCTATTGGTGCTTATCCCAATGACAGTAGAAAGGTAGCTCATGGCGCTACCGTATCAAACTTTGTTCAAATCTCCCAAAGAGTCCTTCCAAATTAAGAGTACATTGCGCTTATCATTCTTAATGAATGAATATGTCTTCTTGTAGTTGTTAGGGTGAGTGCACTAGTTGTATTTATAAGGATGATCCAAAATGATATGACAAGCATCCATATGTACCACATCACATCACTCTTAATCCTGAAACTTTTTTCTGGTGAGAAAGTTTACTAGGCATCTCTTGTGAACTACGATTTTTTTTTAATTCTTCAGCCAAGAGATGGATTAAGGCTGGGTGTGTCTGTGTGACCAGGCTCAACTTTTCTACTTGGTTGACATCATTTTCTCACAAATGCTCTTGTCAATGATAAAACTACGCACCTTTTTTATGGTGCAACAGGCTCAGTCTGATTGATTCGTCGAATACTGGCATCTCTTTTATCTTCTGAGAGTTGATGTTCATTCAGTTTCTAATTTTATATTGTCTATTTCTATCACTGCTCCATACTTGGTGAAAGCGATCACTATCCCGTTAGGGCATTCAGATGGTATGTGTTGAATGTCATGTCACTTGAAGCACTTCATGGTTGGATTGGACTTAGGATTGTTGGATCCCTCCCTTCTCTACCTTGTATTGATTTCTCCTCACATAAGGCCAATTGGGCGCTCTAACAAGTATACTATTGTCCCCTATGATCGAGCAGTGTTTGTGGGGGTTAATGGCTTGCTTCTCCTCTTTTAGGACGAGAAAAGAAGATGAGTAGATGATGAAAGTTTCAAAAGTGATGTAATTGTGGATGAGATGCATAACGAGATAAAAAAATCATAATTTTTAGTCTTAATAATTTTAAAATTTAGCAATATGTCACGACGATGCCTGAAAACTTGTTATTAACTAAGACGAGAACATATGATCGGTCGGTAAAAGATATTTTTATACATTAACATTAGTTCACAATAACATTTATATTGAAAAGAGCCGTTAAATCCACAATATACATGTAATTATCTTTTAACATAATAGATACGATCTTCTTGTCCACTATAACAAAACAAGTGATACAATAAAATAGATAAAATATAAGCACCAAATAGATTGCTACCATATCATTTAGAAGTGCGGAGCATCATATCATCGAACATATATATACAAACTACTAATATGACAATAAAATATGCACTCAAAGTCTCTACAACCACCAAAATTATTCAATGCAAAAACTGTACATGTCACCCTTGGCTACACAACATGGTGCTCCTTACTCTTTCCTGAAACTCAACAACATATAATGAACTACAACTGCAACAAAATAATCAACGCTAAATAATGATTTAAAGACAAAAAAAAGAAGCAACGTGCGTGAAAATCAGGACTCATATGCATGATAGGAAAACTATCACAACATGCTATGATCGTGCAAGACATCTAAAGAAAACCGTGGAATGTCACATCCATTCATGTACAATCATATGCATATTCAAAAAAATTTCATAATCAATATTTGTAATCTTAGGAATGTCACATCCTAATAATAGGAATGTCAATTATAATTGTACAAGTTTTGACTTCTTTCATGTCATTGGGTCATCACTAAGCTTGATGACTAATTTAACTATCAATAAAAGTTATATTTTTCCTAATATAACAGTTATCAATAGCCCTAGGATATCATCTGTTCCCGCTTGATCCCAAATGTTCTTGAATTTCATTACTGTTTGCATACCATGAGCCGGAAATCTCATTGTTTCTTATCATTTACTTGCGACATTCAGGTAATAAGTAATAGTAGTCAAATCATAGTCATATGCATAATCAATATTATATGAATACGTGCAGGCGAATATTTCAGAAACATGCTCGTGTCAATATATAGGAAAATCATAATTATTGTTTGTGTTAATTCAAACTGGCATTCATGAACTTTTGTAGATATTCAACAATATGAGAAAACTCTAAATTCATTCATACGTCATAAGAAATCATATCAAAAACATAGAGAAATACATTATTCTTAATTTAGCTCATATTTATTTCATCTGAATTGACATACTAGCCATATGACAAGTTTTTTCAAGCTCCTCTCGTGCACGCCACCTAGTATAAACAACTTGGAACTTGTAATCCCTTTTGAAAATCATAAATTCTAGCCTATAGTTTCATTTAACCTAAATCATAACATACTTGCTCCGTCTTATCTCAAACATACTTCTCCGCATAAGTATCCCTTTTTGCTTATTTTCTTACTCTCTCAATCCTTCCATTTTTCTCTCTCTTCATTGATTTCTTCGAACAGTCATATCAAGAGGCCAAAAATAAATTTTGACGCTTCCAGTTACATTTTGCCTTCCTTCACATGAAATGGGAATGCAAGAATTGCCCAGCATGCGGAAATCATCAGAAAAATATCATAGGAAAGGAAAAGAATGTTATAAGTATCGAGAAAATGGTAATTTTCTTAACCGTTCTCTCCCTGGTACCCCCGTCAGTGAGCTCGTCTCCGAGCACGACGTTCGCCCATCTGCTACAGTAACCAGGTCGCATGATTCTTCAGAAGAGCAAAATTGAAAGTGGGAGGGGGGGAATGAAGGAAAGTGCGACATATTAACGTGATCCCAATTAATCCCCTCCATTTGATCATATCCAGCCGTGGCATGCACCCTAAGTGCGAATAATGTCGGCTGGCTACAATAATGAAAATTAAAGAGTAATTAGGATTAATTAAGATATTAATTATACTAATAGTTTAACATTTTATTTTTCCCCATACATTTAAAATTCATACATACATTCATGACATTTAAAACTCAGTCAAATTTTGAGGGATGCAAAAATTGGGGTCATTTGATTGATTTGACATGTAAAATTTTATAAAATTAACTCAGTCAAATTTTGAGGGATGCAAAAATTGGGGTATTTCATAATTTACCAAATTTTTATCAATTTTCTCAAAATTGGGTGTTACAGTAACTTACCTCACAATTGTAATTTTTAGTCATGGAGAGAACATTCTATAAATGCTTTAAATTGTGGGGAGCTTTATATTGGGCATGCTTTTTGTTTAATTATACCAAAAAATATTTTGATGCCTTTACTTTGTCTTGACCGTTGTTATTTGTGAATAAAGGAGCCTCAGTAGATCATGGCATTCGCATGATGTTGATTAAGACAATGTAATGTTTTTTAGTAAAAGATGACCTTCTGGATTCACCTTGCTGATCTATCTGCAACTTTAAAAAATTTGGAGGTTTTTTAAATGGTTCTGAATCCCTTTTTTTCTTGTTTGTTTCTGCTATTTTATGCTTCATCGATTATGTGGTGCAAATGCTGATTTTGGCTGCATCTGCAATGTCCTTGTTTTTTGCTATTTGCTCTTTTTATAAGCGCGCATTTACTTATTCTGCAAGCTTATACTCAATTGCTAGTGTCCGCTAATATACCGTTCTCTTATCATGTTCTTATTGGTTCACTTGCTTCTTCGTAATTGCATCTGTTTTATTATGTACGAAGTATAATGCGCTAACTTGAGTTGCTTTGGATTAATACTATATCTTAGTTAAATTACACTTTTTTTTTCTTTTTTTCCGGTGAAGCACTTTGTTTTGCGTTTATGCTTTCAAGCAATGAGTCCATTGCAGTTGGCTCACAAGTAAGATTATAGGAAAATTTACCAACATACCACTCAATTCTTATGTATTTATATATTTAACACCTAAACTTCAATTTTTACATACATACCACTTTACCTATGCAGGAAAATGTATGTTTCACTTTTTTGTAAGTTAAAAAAGATGGTATTTTTGATTTGATATGAAAGTTTTGGGTTGTATACATTTAAAAAACTGAATTCTAGGTATTAGAGATGTAAATACACACGAATTGGGTGGTATGTGTCTAAAAGCCCCAAGATTATATAGTCAAATTTAGTTCTCTATTTCTTAGAGTACAATGTTAATGCATGCATTTATAGCTGCAACGCGGCATCTTTGTTTTTGGCTGACTTGACTTGTACGATCCAGGAAAACACCTAATTCTGCCGTTCACCTTCTTTGTTCATCTCACAATTTAAGTATGCCTACTTAAGTTTTATTTAACTAGTAATCGAAATACCACCGAAATACCACTCTTTCGGATTAAGATTTGTAAATTTAAATACTTTATTACTGTTATGGTGATATTTATTTTCACGTCCATAGAAGAAAAATCTTGGGTCATCTATGTGGCCAACTATGACAACTTTCTTGAATTTGACTAGTACTAGATAAATTGAATGTTTTTTTATTTTATATCCGTTGACTATTAATTATTTTTTAGGGCATTTACATGCATACATAATTCTGATGTATTTACTTATCTCACACCTAAACTTTCATATTTATAGAAATAACACACAAATTTTTAATATCCCAACTAAAATAGCATTATTATCACTTTTTTTAAAGTGAAATACACCTTGTCATGCATATGTTTAAAATTTCGAAGTGTTGTGTGTGTAAATATGAGATTTTAGGTGTGAGACATGTAAATATGTAAGAAATATGTGCTAGATATGTAAATTTTCCTTTTTTTAATCTTTCTATATGTTTACAATTGGCACCCCATTTTTTTTCCATTGATACCTTAATAATCGTACTAAATTTGTCTTCTGTAAAAACATTATTCTAATACTCTTTTGTTCTTTTAAAAAGGATCGGGAGAATATTGAACGTTTGGAAATTACTGGTGTTGGTGATCCATCTGGCCGTGGATTGGGTTTTAGCTATGTACGTGTTACTCCAAAAGCTCCTATTACTAGTGCAGTGGTAAAGAAGAAAGCAGCTGCCTCAAAAGGAGGCTCCACTGTAACTGGAACAGATGCAGACCTCCGTAGGTTGAGTATGGATGCAGCACGCGAGGTAATTCTCATCCTATACTCAAATTTAGCTTCTACATGAGCAGTTTTATACATTCCCTCTTTCAGTTAAGGAAGTTACTTTTGCTTAGTTTTAGGCTTAGGTTTGATAGTTTGATGTTGACTTTAATTGAGGAATGGCTTGGAAGATGGAAGCTGACTTGATCGTTGTCTCGTGATATTGTCATCCTTGTTGTGCTTAATGATACAATTTGTTAATGCTAGAGCGTTTTGAATTATAATGTCTAGGGAGCTTGTTTAGTTGCTATGAGTTGCATCCTCCTAGGTAGCGGAGTAGTCTATGGTGGATGAAGTATATCACATTCCATTGTTCCAGTAATTAGAATCAAGGCAAGAACAATATGTAGCAAATTACAATATAAATATAACCTTATATTATCAAGGAAAGTCCAGAAACTTTTAGTTTCAAATGATAGATCTCTCCAAACAGATGCATTTTTTTCTTTGAGAAATCATCTTGGGATAGTTGTGCGACTCAGCAAAGCCCTTCAAATGATCTGAACGGAGCTCAAGGGAAGAGAGAATAAATACCAAATAATGGCTGACAAGCGTTCCTGGTTCATCAACAACTATCCTTACGTAGAAAATATCAAGTCATAAATTTCTTGAGAAAAGATAAAATAATAATGACAATCAGCATGAAAAATGTGAATAAAATAATTTAATTTATTAACGAATAAATGTCAAGCCAACAATTTGTGCAATAGTCAAAATAATGACTAGAGCTACTCCAACAATCATGACAACGGACCTTTGCATCCATTGGAAAATGAATCCAAGGCATATAATGTTTCCAAAACACAGTGTTCGAGCACAAGAATAGAAGCAAATGCTAAAACAAATATTAGCGACAACTTTTAGATGACATCTCGTTTGAGAAAGATGAATCTAACAAAACATGCTATATAAAACATTAATGTGGCATTTAACGCAGTAAAACATGCCACAAGTAATACAATCATTTTGATTTCAAGACCATGAAGCCTGAAACTAGTTTCCATCAAAACTTAATATATATAATCAAGGCCGTTTTTGGCATCTCAATTATCTCTATTCTCAAAGCAAGGGTAATTTTCTTTTTCCATTTATGACTCTCTTTTGAACTACCCTATAAATAACCAAGTGAACATCAGATCTAGGTCTTAGCACGAGAAGTTCAATCACTAACACAAAAAGCTATTTCTGAAGACAAGGATTGAAATTCAGCTTCAGCACTGCTCCAGACAATCATCGATTGTTTTTTATTTTTTCATATAACTAGATTTTCCCACACAATTTAACAGTACTTGGAGGTAGATCGTCGATTATGGACTGATTTGACCCAATCAACATCTGTATAAGCAACAGTAGAACGCGAGGTGTGACACGAAAAAAGACAAACCTGAGCCTGATGTGTGCCTTTTAACTAGTGAAGAATCCGGTGGACAGCGTGGAGATGGTTCTCATGGGGGTCATGCATGAATTGACTTACTTTACTAACTGCATAACATATGCCGGTGCGTGTATGGGCGAGATGGATGATTTTCCTCACAAAACGCTGATAGTGAGTCTTGTTAACAGGAACTGTATTGAGAACATCAAATAATTTTTTATTAGGATCTATTGGGATATCCACTGGTTTGCACAGAAGCAGATTATTGTCTGTTAACAAGTCAATCACATATTTGCGCTGAGACAGACAAATGTCCCGAGTAACTTCCATGCCTAAGAGGTATTAGAGGGATCCCAAGTTCTTCATTTTAAAGGATGTAGCTAAAATGATTTTCAAAGACTTCAATGTTGGTAGATCATTTCATGTGAGTATATTATCGCCGACATAGACAATAAGAGTAACAATTTGGCCATTGAATGAATGTTGGAAGAAGAGTGTGATCCAATTGACCCCGAGTAAAACCATTACTCACTACTATCTTTTTGAATTTTCTAAAGCAGACCCACAAGGGTTGCTTTAGTCCATAGAGGGATTTTTACAATCTGCACACTTGCCCTGGGAAGACAGTAGAGTCAAAGCTAGGGGAAGAGACATGTACACTTCTTCTATATGATCTTCATTCAGGAACACACTGTTGACATCAAGTTGGAACAAGACCAATCTAGATTCACCGCAAGAGATAACAAGACCCGAATGTTGCTTAACCGGCCATCAGAGCAAATGTCTTCTCATAATCAAATTCGTAGGTCTGTGGGTATCCTTTGGCGACCAACCATGCTTTGTTGCATTCAAAGGATCTGAGTTGAATTTGATGCTAAAAATTCATTGACATCCAATTGCTTTCTTACCCTGAGGAATATCCATGACGTCCCATCCCCTGTATGGTTTCGCCGAAGTGCATTCATTTCTTCCATTACCGTAGCTTTCCAGGCCAGATTTGCTAGTGTAGTCTCAATAGTAGTTGGGATCTGATGATCAATCAGGGCAATAACAAATGCTCTGTAGATCGGCGATAAACTGCGGAAAGAGACATATTTTGCCATAGATTTGAGATAACATGCCTGATTGCGTACTTTACTTGGGGAACCCACTTGATTTGGTGTTGGAGTGGTGATAGAGATGTCGCTAGGAGTGGATTCAAGGTCCTGCAAGGAGGTAGCAGGCTTCAGAGGAGGGGCATTAGGACTAGTGCATCGAGTGTAGACATGGAGAGTTGGAGGAAGAGATGGTGGAACAATAGAAACCAGAACTTCCTTAGTGGCAGGAACTATGAGAGGAACATTCATAGGAGTAGGATATAGAATAATCTCCAAAAAATCAAGCTCTCCCTCAAGGTCAAGTTAGGAAAATAAAGAATAATTTAAAAAACTGAGACATTAACACTCACATAGATTTTGTTTGTGATAGTGTCAAGGAATCGATACTCTTTTTAAGTGGCACAGTACCCTAGGAAGACTCATTTTATGGATCTGAGATAAAGCTTATTTTGAGTCGGGTCAGTGTTTCGAATAGAAGTTGTGCACCAAAAAAATTTGAGATTTAAAGCGGAGAAGACCCGATTAGCAAAAAAGTATGACATCAAAATGGCTAAGTGGGGTTCAGAAGTTGTGAATTTTAGAGGTGATTCTATTTATGAGATAGGTGACAACCAGTATGTTCCCAAAATGTTTCGGGACATTAGATTGAAACATAATGGAGTGAACAACATCTAGATATCGGTTTTTCCTCCCGACTACCTCATTTTTTGAGTGTCCGTACACGAGCAATGGTGGAGAATGCCTTATCAAGAATTCACCTAAAATAAACTTAAAATACCTACGATCATTGCCGATGCAATGAAACTGAATTGGAGTTTTGAATTAGGTATAAATTATGGTATAGAAGTTTTAAAAAGTGATAATAACCTCTGATTTGTTTTTTAAAATTTAGAGCCACATTATTCGAGTGTGGTCATCAATCAAAGTAAGGAACTACCATTTATGTGTGTAGCTGGTAGTGCGAGAGGGTCCTTATACATTACTGTGAATGAGTGAAAAGAGAGCGGAAGGTGTGTAAGTGTGTGTGTGGGGGGGGGGGGGGGGGGGGGCGCGCGCGCGCGCCGTCTTAGAATTCTCACACTTGAAAATAGAAATATTTTGATTAGAAAACATCAATGGATACAAATGTTTTAAAAATTGCAAACTATGATGACTCAAACGACAATGCAACTATATAATGAGACATTTAGTGACTTAAGATATGCTACAATTACTGATTGGTATGTTCTCTTTCTCTGTGCTTTTCTCTTGGAAGTAGTGGAGTTCAGCTACTCGATTTAGCAGTTCCAACCATCCTCCCTGAACGACGGTTTTGAAAGACACAAACTTTAAAAGAGAATTAAACAAGTTAATCAACATCATGTTTCAACTTCTTGACAGATAAAATGTTACATTTCAACGGTGGTACATGAACAACAAACCTTAACAATGGAATTATAGGAGCCATCAACAATGCTTTTCTCTTGGAAGTAGTAGGGTTCAGCTACTCAATTTAGCAGTTCCAACCATCCTCTCTGAACGACGATCCTGAAAGACACAAACTTTAGAAGAGAATTAAACAGGTTAATCAACTTCATGTTTCAACTTATTGACAGATAAAATGTTACACTTCAACGGTTGTACATGAACAACAAACCCTAACAATGAAATTATAGGAGCCATCCACAATGCTGACCGTATCTTTTCTAGAACATGGATAGTATGTCGAGAAACCTTGCGAGCATCCAATTATATGTTCTATGGCGTCTGAATCAATGATCCACGAACTAGAGGAAAAGGATGTGAGTGTCAAAGTTATAGTACCTTGATGGACGTGTGAGGTCGACAGATCAACAGAAAATAGATTAGATTCAAGTTGCTTGATTAAGTGCTCTTTCCTCCGACTTTTTAGAGAATTGGAGGATTTTGAAATGTTATGGGTAAGAGCTAGTTGAACCGTGGTAGACTTTGATATCGTAGTAAGACCGTTGAATGCAGAGGATTTGACCGAAGATTTGTTTGTCGGTTTTTTGTGGGAGCTTCCAACATTTATCACGAGTGTGATTGTGTTTGTGATAGTAATCAGAAGTCGGGTGACTTGCCCGAGAGGGATGAGGACTATTCGAGACCAAGGCGGGCGATTCGGTTGAAGGGTTGGGACTACCAAGCTTGACAAGTATCTAACTCTTTTCACGACGTATCTTGGTGAAAGCAGCGCGAGAGAAAGGAAGATCTCTGTCAAGAATACAAGCCCGATCTTCGTCATGGTTTTTGTTGAGGCTGTCAGGAATTGGTACTGTTCGCAGTCCATCTATAATGTGATCTTTTTCTACAGTTTTCTGGAATAGAGAAAGGTCGACCAAAGAGTCCCAAGTGTAGTCTTGGTACTTTTGCAGTCCATCTATAATGCATCCAGATCACTGTAGTACTGGGTCACGATTCTTGATCTCTATTTTGTCTTTCTGATCTTCTTAGACACCTCATAGAGTTGGTTGGAGTTTCTTATATCCAAGTAGGTATCACGAACTATTGTCC